GTAAAAAGCGATAGTTGGCTTTACTTAAATTTTTTTTAAGAAACCACTACCTTCAAATGATTAAGTAAATTAATTATGTAAAATATGCATAATTTATAAAAAATAAGTTAAGTGAACTTAAAAGTTGCAACAGAAATACTTTACATTTTTTTAATCAACTTGCCACTTTTAAGGCAACAGGTTTACTCACTTTAAGTAATTGCCTTACAGTGTAGTGTGTTATGCATGTAAATTGAGAAAGAAATATTTAAATATCAATTTGAATTCTATTATAATGATTATTATAATATTGAATATTTATTAAATGTTTAAATATTATTAAATATTTACTTTATTCCTTTAACTTGTATTACTGTTTAATTAATTACATTTTATTATTTAAATTTTTATGAAAACACAATCATTTAATATATTTCCTTAATAAAAATAAAATGTAGCTATGTGTAGTTCTATGGGAAGCTGCTTTGACAACCCACATTGCAAAAGTGCTCTACAAATAAAGATGAATTGAATTGGATTGTTTCTAATTTGTTCCAAAATTATCTAAATTAAGCACAGTAATTCAATAATTAAGTAATAGTCAACAATAATTAAACAAATGTTCAATCACAAGCTTTAGACTGCAATCCTCACATTTCTAAAAGCTTCAAGTCTTGCGAAAGCATTGTTCCCCATCTTGACTTGTACCGCTAAATGTACTGTTTCATGAATTTGAGCTCATATCCTGTTTGAACTGCACCCAAAAGGAAACAATAATAACGGCTACACGACTAAAGCAAACAAAAAGATCCAATAAGCCACCGTCAGTAAACGAGGACACAACCTTTGTCTGGTAAAGCTGTTGCGTAAGCTCGTCATATCATAAAAACCTGTCCAGAAATGAGCAGGTGAAACAGCAGATGAAAGATTACACAAGTTGTATTTAATAGAGATTACATACAGAGTTCCTCTTAGCAGACACATGCTCCATTACAGCTCAGAAAGTGCCATACATTCATCATTCTTTCAGACTTTAGCCATCGAATGCATGCGCTGATCTCAGAACAGAGAATAAAGGGCCGCTCACACTTACGATGATAACTATAAATATAACAATAACTATATTTAGGTCCACACCAGCAAACGATAACTTTATTTTTAATTCTTGCTTTTTTTTTTTTTTTGAAGCAAGGTGTCCTCATTGTGTGATTTCTAGCTCATCTGACCAGTGAATCCAGCTCGTGTAATCCATCTAATCAAACAGTAGCTATGTTTCCATCCAAAGATGCAAACTTAATTTGTGCAAAACTGGAATATCGCATAACAGATTTGCGAAATGATCCAGCGTTTCTATTCAATAAGTCAAAAAGAACAATATCGTCAGACTGCAGTAGGAGAAGCCACTGTGGTACTCTTCTTTAAAAAACGAGCTGCATCTCAGAACACAAAGACAAAACTAAATAAACTCAATGTGGAGCCTTTTGGAGGAGTAAGAGGTTTTTTGGGAGCGCAGATGCTCCAAACCGAACAAAAAACGTATCAGTTATGCGCATACATTTTTTTAAATGCGCATTTTCAAAATTGACGCGCATCCTGGCATTTTTATCAAGCATGTTTTATACAATAATCCAAAATGTTCATAAAAAATAGGGGAATGGGAACACAGTGTGAGGGTTTAGCAGCCGCAATCAGTGTACTGGATTATAGGCCTGTCACGATCAAGCAGCAACTCCCCGCTCTCCCTCATGAAGCAAATACGGAAGTAACTGAAACTGCAATTCATAGAAATTCCACTAGGCCAGGCTCTATATAGAGGAAATTTCTATTGAGCGCACTGTCAAAATGCTAGCTTTACAGCAGAAAAAAGGGTGTTTATAGCCTGGTACAAAGAACGATTTTGCTTCATGTAGCCAACATTACCCTTCATGATAACTGTGAGGGGTGAATTTTTTTTATAACATCCGTTTCGTTTATAATAAGCAGGGGTCACCAAACTTGTTCCTGGTTCCTGTTCCTAATTAAACACACCTGATCAAGCTAATCAAGGTCTTACTTACCCAAGCAGGTGTGTTGAGGCAAGTTGGAGCTAAACCCTGAAGGGACACCGGCCCTCCAGAACCGAGATTGGTGACCCCTGATATTAAGCTTTATGAAGTCTGCATAATTAAGGGCGTGGCCACTTGAGTGACAGCCAGGTCTCGCTGGTCGTCGTCACTTCACCTCAGCTGATTAGCTGCTGAACTCGGCATATACATCCTATTTTTTGTGTTTTATGTGGCTTTACATAGACAGTTGCCTTTTGGAAATATTTCCTACAACTATCAGATGATATTGCATGCTGTGTGCGCTTAATTGTGCTCACAAACCATTCACGTGGCCTCCATTTCCTAAGTGAGTGAAATTATATACTTTTATACCATCTCTATAAATGTATGTTTTATTTAAGATCATTTATCTTTTTCTTGTGACCTGTAATGCACTACAGAATCTGACAGATTGATTAGCTGTAACCCCAACGATATTGTTTCTCCACATAATAGTTTAAGCTGTGTAGTCTGAACGGTTTACATTCAGAACGATTTTTACATCCCCCATCGTTGTTGTCATCTTTATAGCTATCGTACTTTGTGTGAACGGTCATTAACATGGCTCCAAAAATACTAGACATAATTCTGAAAACCAACAAGGCTGAGGTCAGTGGTCTGGCTTTACATATATCAGAAGAGGGCACTATAAATACAGTAAACAAACATCAGGGTGACGGGAATTTTCCCAGCATCCTTTGTGCTCTCCACACGGTAAATAGTGCAAATAGTAACTACATTAATAAAAGCATAACCACACATCAAGCCACGAAGGAGGGAGAATAGAAATCGGTAACAAAGTTTCGCACGTATGAAAACACTTTTTCAGGGTCGGTGTTAAAATTAGCCGAACTGCTAATCAAATCACAAAACACACATCGTCAGTAAAGCCCTGAACATGTTTCCGGTGTTGGAAGAGTGTGTCGGCGACAGTAGTGCCATGGAAAGGTCTTAAAAACGTTAAAATTGGTCTCAAGGCAACGTTACCTGGTTTTTATGTAAAAGTAAAATAGTTTCTGTCCTAATATCTGTTTTTTAAAAAGTTGTTTTTGAACATGCAAATGGTGTTTCATTATCCTTATGCAGAAAATCTCTAATGGAGCCAATCTGGGTTCATGAAATCTTGCAGCCAATAGCGAGTGATCATGCATCCGTGCATTTAAATGAGCCGTAAATATTTATAGTCTTAAAGGGGCAGTTCACCCAAAAAAAGAAAGTTTGTATCTGCACATTTAGTTCAGTAGAATTAAGGAAAATATTGGTAACACTTTAGTTTAGGCACATATGCACAAACCACTAACTAACACTACTAGTCTAATAATAGTACGGTAGATGTTGGATTTAGATTTTGGGATAAGGGTTGCAAAATAGGAACGTACTACTAATGAACAGCTTATATCCTAATAATAAGCTAGTAGTTAAAAGCATGAATTGTGACCTAAATTAAAGTGTTAGGGATATATTTTATAAATAATATAAAATTTCTTCCATAGACTAACTATTTTGCTTGATAAGACCTCAATGTGTCATCGGTGGCCATTGGGATTCATTTTGGTTCGCCTGCATGCTTTCTGGACTCTCAAAGTGATTCATTTATAGGTGCACTTAAGAGAGTTTTACCAAATGATGATGATATTGGAAAGCACCCAATCAAACATGACTATAACCCAACAGGACTCCACCCCGACTATATTTTTAGACACGACCAATCCGACCGCAGTTGGGGTCATCTGACCAATCACAGTACCATAGGCAGGGTTCATACAGATTTTTACTTCTAAAATTCCATGACTTTTCCATGATTTTTCCAAGACTTTCAAAAAATTTTCATGACCTAATGATCCATGTAATGTCTTCATAAGCGTGGTAAAAGAAAAACAATGCATGTTCAAAATCATTACAGCATATTGTAAAACATGCAACAATCTATTTAGTTTTAATTTATATATATATATATATGTAAAATTGAGTTGAATGATGCTTACACCGCACTAATAATGTCAGAGTAAGGCCAAGGACAGAAAATAAGTAAATAACCGATATTTAAGTATACAGATATCTATTTACTATGACTTTTCCAAAACTTTTCCAGGCCTGGAAAACGCCCTGTTAAAATTCCATGACTTTTCCAGGTTTTCCATGACTGTATGAACCCTGCATAGAGTAATTTGACCAATCAGAGAAGAGTTCTTTGACTAATTAGAGCACAATGAGGTCATCTGACGAATAAGGGCAGAGTTAACTCATCTTACCAATAAGAGCACAATAGGGTCTTCTGACCAATCAGAGAAGAGTACTTCTGATTGGCTGCCGGTGTGTTTTGAGACATTTTTTTCAATTATAACATGCACTTTTAATACCATATTAGTATTACCCAGGAAAGAAATCTTACCAGCTTATTTTTAAACTAAGAGCAGTTGCGGACATGTGCAAACTTCCGCATTTGCATCCATTTATTTGTTGCTTGACATTGCAAACTTGTTAGAACGTTCCCCTTATGTTTGCATTTGGCTGTTTTTCGGGAACCAATTTAAAAATACTTAAGAAACGTTCTATGTATGATCTTCAATGACTTATTGAAAATAAGCTATATAATACTGGATTGATTAAGATGATTATTCAGTGCAAGCCATTCTAACGAAAGAAAAAAGTCTATATAATTGGTAATAATTAATAAACTTTCACCAAAATCTAATAACTTTAACCATTAATATTTTGGTTTGGGGCTAATAATTAAGAACTCCTAAAATCCTAGCAATCGTTGATTAATGCTGGTGGTTTAAACTCTTACTTTTCACCGTACAGTCAAATGATTGAATATCCTTTCCCTCATAAATAAGACCCGTCTTTATTTTATGTCGACTTTAATTTATATACTGACATATTTCTGAAGAACATGCACAACGATTAAACAACCTCGTTCAAAACCTCAAACTGTTTTTTTTTTTTTTTTTGGTTAGCATAGCCATTTCAACACTAAATGTCATTCTAATATTTATAATCTCCCACTTAGGAGGGGTTATTCGTCATGCATGTTCATGATGAAGCCAAAAACATGGGAACATGAGTTCTACTGGAAGTGTTTTAGCAGATTCAGGACAGAACGGATGGTAACGGGATGTTTCTGAAGCGTCTCCTACAGTAAGCAGCACGCTCTGAACATGGTCATGCCTGTGGATGATGTTAGCTGTAAAGAGACACTCTCATTGGCTGAAATGAAGAGCACTGAGCCTCGTTTTAGAGTGATGTCCGAGAGTGCAGCAGCAGACGTGGCGACGGCCTCACCGTCAATGACCAGCAGGATTCCTGCAGAATCCAGAGCACTCACAGTATACTGCTGCGTCGAGGACGGCACCTGAAGAACAACAGCTACATTAGCATCATATTACTCTTAAAGTGCCCCCGTTATGCTTTTTTTGGATATAACCATTCGTTTTGTGGGCAGTGAAGCTGTTTGTGAATTTTAATTACTGCTAGGTTATAAAAAATTTACTGTCTGTCAAAGAAATCAGTTCTAAACTGCCTGTAATGCCATCTGATCAATCAGCAGAGCAGGGTCAGCTGACCAATTAGAGTGCATGAGGGTAATCTGACCAATCAGAGTACATAAGGTAATCTGCTCTAATTGGTCAGATGACCCTATTCTACTCTAATTGGTCAGAGTAGAACTATATGATCAATCTTAAGAGTCATCTGACCAATCAAAGTGCATTAAGGTAATTTGACCAATCAGAGTAGAGTAGGGTCATCTGATCAATCTGAGCGCAAAAGGGTCATCTGACCACACCAAGCATAGTAAAGTCATTTGACCAATCCCTATGCAATAGGGTCATCTGACCAATCAGAGTGTAATAGCGCAATCAGACCAATCGGAGTGCAATAGGGTAATCTGGCCAATCAGAGTGCAATAGGGTAATCTGACCATCCTGAGTGGAATAGGGCCATCTGATCAAAGTTGAGTAGGGTCATCTGACCAATCAGAACGCAATAGAATCATCTGACCACACACAGCATAGTAAAGTCATTTGACCAATCACTGTGTAATACGTTAGTCTGACCAATCAGAGTGTAATATGGTAATCTAACCAATCTGAGCAGAGTGCAGTCATCTGACCAATCAAAGCAGAGTAAGGGCATCTGATAAATCTTAAGCGTCATCTGACCAATCAACGTGCAATAAGGTAATTTGACCAATCAGAGTAGAATAGGGTCATCTGACCAATTAGACCAAAGTAGGGTCATCTGACCAATCAGAGCGCGATAGGGTCATCTGTCAAATCAGAGCATAGTAAATTAATCTGACCTATCAGAGAGCAATAGGGTCATCTGAGTAATCAGAGTGCGATAGGGTCATCTGACCAATCAGAGTGCATTAGGGTCATCTGACCAATCAAAGTGCATTAAGGTAATTTGACCAATCAGAGTAGAATAGGGTCATCTGATCAATCTAAAGTGTCATCTGACCAATCAGAGCGCAATAGGGTCATCTGACCAATCAAAGCAGAGTAGTGTCATCTGATTAATCACTGTGCAATAGGGTCATCTGACCAATCAGAGTGCAATAGTGTAATCAGACCAATCAGAGTGCAATAGCGTAATCAGACCAATCAGAGTGCAATAGCATAATCAGACCAATCAGAGCTTATTAATTAGAGTGCAATAGGGTCATCTGACCAATCAAAGCAGAGTAGTGTCATCTGATTAATCACTGTGCAATAGGGTCATCTGACCAATCAGAGTGCAATAGCGTAATCAGACCAATCAGAGTGCAATAGCATAATCAGACCAATCAGAGCTTATTAATTAGAGTGCAATAGGGTCATCTGTCCAATCAGAGCATAGTAAATTAATCTGACCAATCAGAGAGTCAGAGTCGAGTCATCTTACCGATAAGAACACAATAGGGTCAAAGTAAAGTAGGGTAAAGTAAAGCAGCCTGACCAATAAGAGCAGAACAGTCTGGAAAGGCGGGATTTAGCGAGATCAGATCCTTGAACCAATCATTTCAAACACGGTCAGAACAGAACTGATAGTGTGATGCACATCATGAGAAAATGATAGTGTTATTTGACTCGTAATGGATGTGAACATGTTGAAGGAGACCTTCACAACATACAGCATAATGAAAAAGCATAACAGGGGACCTTTAAAGGACAGGACTGAATCTGTCTGAGCAGCTGGCATTGGGCTGATGTGTGTATTTGGACCTGTATTCTCATGACGGTGAAGTCTGGCACAGGAGGGTCGTAGAGGTAGACACAGGGGTCGGCGTTGTCCCGCACACAGGGGAAGATTTTGGCACTGACGGGAGCTGGGCAGTAATTCAACATCTCGCACAGAGTGTCCACGTCTATGTATTTGGGGGTCAGTCCGGCACGAACGGTGTTGTCAGAACACGCCATACACTCCACACAGTCTGCAAAAACAAATGAGAAGTATTGAGCACATAAATATATTTCACAAAAAAATGTAATGACACAACATACATGGAAGATTTATGACCACAAAAACCTACGCAGACTGTAATGCATGCAGACTAAATTAATAATAACTATTGTTATATGAAGGATTGTTAAATTCGTAATGATAGTAGTTAATATATACACCTTACATTCAGGGCTTTACATTAACTTTTTTGATCACCAGCCACTGTGGCTAGTAGATTTCCAACATTACTAGCCACTTGCCATTTTCACTAGCCACAATTTTGTTGTTTGGAAAATATATTTTGTATAAATAAATGTGACTTTGACATGCTAAAATGACTTTATTTAGATGTTGTGTTGTCCCATATCAGCAGTTACACACAAATGGTTGGTTAATCTCATATTAAAGAAACGTTATTGTAAGGGATGAAAATTAAACTATATTAACAAAAATAACTGTAAGCAAAAGAAAGCAGGTAAAAACATACCACGAGTGATAATGAAAGGATGATCACATGCCTGAGAATAATTCAAACGAAAGCAGTGACTGCTGCTGTTGCTTACAAATATATATATTTTTCAATCTTGAGCTCCTAAAAGCAGCAGGACTGTGGGTACACGAGCATCGTTTTTTGTCTAGTCTTTTTCAAATAGAAACGATAGCAAGTGAACAGAAAAAAAGCGCAAGTAAGCGGGAGCGCCATCACATCACCTGTGCGCGAGAGTAAGAATCCTCTTATACAGTATTCACCTGCTTTGTCTCGCGCGAACACAGTTATTGTTTTCAGTGGTGCTGTTTCTCGATTCTAAGATCACAATTGCAAGTATATTGGGCCATCCTTATTGTCGAACCCTGCTTTAAGAAAACTACAATGTAAAAATTATTTCCAACCTGCCAAAGTGGCTAGTGGGAGTGGCTGTCTTACCCGCCAAAGCTAAAATCTACCCGCATTTGGCGGGTGTTAATGTAAAGCCCTGCTTACATGTAATAAATGATTAATAATTTATTTTTAAACTAATATTGAATAATAAATTGCCATAAATGAAGTCAAGTCACAAGAATTCAAATACACAAACTACATGCAATAGATGAACAACTATAAATTATTATAACAGGTTATTGTGTGAATATTATTAAATAAATACAATAAAAAATAGAAATTACAAAACCTAAATGGAATAAATAAACGTTAATTAAATAGTATGTAATTAATATACAATATATATTATTAAATCAATATTATTTAATATATATTATACAAACCACAACAATCCAACCTCGATGAAATGGATGATTATGGATTCGACTATTAATACTTTTAATTGTACAAAGTAAATATTAATGAATATTTCTATACATTTATATAGTATTTTTGTATTTTATTAATATAAGCAGTAATATTACTTGTATATACACAACACATTTAATAAATAAATAAAATTATACCAATATTATTAATTATTATGTGGATATTATTAAAAAAATCACATTATTATTATTAAAATTATGATTATTTTTATAATTAAAATTATAAATTAACACACACACACACACAAAAAAACGTTTTCTGAGTAACATGATGAACTCTGACCTCCGGACAGATACGCATGAGGCTCATTTGCCCCCAGAAACATGGCCTCTCCCGGCTGCAGCACGATGCGGTTGAGGAAATAAATGGAGAAGCAGCCGATGTCTCCGGGATACTGGGAATGAAGCCGCAGCAGCAGCTCTCCGTTACTTCCAGAGGTGTCTTTACCTGCGGCTTCTGAAACGACACAGCAGGTCAGACCGGTTTCATCTCAACACAGAACCACACAGATGCAATAGATCAGATCAGGAATGTGTGTTTGCAGATGTGGGAGTGGAAGTCCTGGATAAACATTAACTATTGTTTCAATCCACCTGTTTTTACGTGCATTTTTGGAATATCGCATGAAAAGTGCTTAATGGAAATGCTAAATGGATGGAAATATATTGACTCTTTGGATGTAATCGATGTTTTATTCGCAAATGTTTTATGCGTTATTCCAGTTTTGCGCTTAAGTTTAATTTGCATTTTTGAATAGAAACAGAACAGCTGTTTGATTATATAGATTACACAAGCTGGATTCACTGGTTAGATGTGCTAGAAACAGCACACTGGATGGAAACATAGCTACTGTTTGATTATATAGATTACACGAGCTGGATTCACTGGTCAGATGTATTAGAAACAGCACACTGGATGGAAACATAGCTACTGTTTGATTATATAGATTACACAAGCTGGATTCACTGGTTAGATGTGCTAGAAACAGCACACTGGATGAAAACATAGCTAATGTTGGATTATAGATTATACAAGCTGGATTCACTGGTCAGATGTATTAGAAACAGCACACTGGATGAAAACATAGCTACTGTTTGATTATAGATTACACAAGCTGGATTCACTGGTCAGATGTATTAGAAACAGCACACTGGATGGAAACATAGCTACTGTTTGATTATATAGATTACACAAGCTGAATTCACTGGTTAGATGTGCTAGAAACAGCACACTGGATGGAAACATAGCTACTGTTTGATTATATAGATTACACAAGCTGGATTCACTGGTCAGATGTATTAGAAACAGCACACTGGATGGAAACATAGCTACTGTTTGATTATATAGATTACACAAGCTGAATTCACTGGTTAGATGTGCTAGAAACAGCACACTGGATGGAAACATAGCTACTGTTTGATTATATAGATTACACAAGCTGAATTCACTGGTTAGATGTGCTAGAAACAGCACACTGGATGGAAACATAGCTACTGTTTGATTATAGATTACGCAAGCTGAATTCACTGGTTAGATGTGCTAGAAACAGCACACTGGATGGAAACATAGCTACTGTTTGATTATAGATTACGCAAGCTGAATTCACTGGTTAGATGTGCTAGAAACAGCACACTGGATGGAAACATAGCTACTGTTTGATTATATAGATTACACAAGCTGGATTCACTGGTCAGATGTATTAGAAACAGCACACTGGATGGAAACATAGCTACTGTTTGATAATAGATTACACAAGCTGGATTCACTGGTTAGATGTGCTAGAAACAGCACACTGGATGGAAACAGCTACTATTTGATTAGGTAAAATACAAAAGCTAGATTCACTGGTCAGATGCGTTAAAACAGCACACTGGATGGAAACATAGCTACTGTGTGATTAGAGAATTACACAAGCTGGATTCACTGGTCAGATGTGTTAAAAACGGCACACTGGCTGAAAACATAGCTACTGTTTGATTCGATAGATTACACAAGCTAGATTCACTGGTCAGATGTGCTAGAAACAGCACACTGCATGTTAACATAGCTAGTAGACAGACGGTTTCCCTCTCACCTTCCTCTGAGATTCGCTTGACTAGCATGTTGAGCTGGTCCACAAACAGCTTTTTCTCGCAGTTCATCATTCTGGTAAAGCATTTCTTTAGGGCGAGAGACGTTCGGTGTGGGTTTCCGTCAGCGCTCTGCAGCTCCTCAGACGCTTCATTTCCCACCAGCGCACGGAACTCTGGGACATCTGATGAAAAAACCCACAAACCACACATACAGTTGCAAATATTAGGATAAACACATGTGAAACTGAAACTGCCAGTAGGTGGCGACAAATCCTGTGTTAATGCTTGATTGATCAAATAATTAATTTAGTTGATTCATTCAAAGTTGCTGATTATTTAAGAAATAAAGCCAGCCTGATGAATAAGCCCACAAACCACACAAATATGGCTGGAAATATTAGGATAAATTAACGTGACACTGAAACTGCCAGTCGGTGGCGACAAAGCCTAGTGTTAATGACTGATTTATCAAGTCATTCATTCAATAATTATTAAAAGCAACTGACTCTTTTAGAAGTAAAGCAACTTCTCTGACTCAAATGATTCAGTCAAATGCAGATTCATTCAGCAAGCATTGCTTCAAGACACAAATGTTATCGTGAGAGATTATTGTACAAGGCTGCCAGCAAATGATGATTTTTCCAGTCGTCAATAGTTGTTCGTTTAAGATATTAGTTGGCTAACCCCAATTTACTCAAATAGTACCTAATAAATCTGGAGAATCTTCAAGTGGCTTCTTAAGTTTACACTGTGTGTGAATGCTTAAGAGGGTTCATTAGGGACATTTGAACAACAGTGGTTTGTTCTGTAGCCATTAAAAAAAATTGTAAGGTGGCTTTTAAAATTGACCTCAGCATTTATTAAAATATTTGTGTTCATTTTCATTCCAGCCAAACTAAAATAAATAATAAAGAAACTAAAAGGAATACTGTGAAAACTGTCCTTGCTCTGTTAAACAGCACTTATGAAATGCTGTTTTATTCATTTAACTTCTATAATGAGACATATTTAGATTTAATGCAATATTTTGTAAAACAAAAATAAATTTAAATTGGTATAAAATTTGACACATTTCAGTATCTTTAAAAGCAAATAAAAACTGCATTTCCTCATATACAGTGGAAGTCAAAATTGTTAGCCCTCATTTGTCTTTTTCACATATTTCCCGAATAATGTTTAGAAGATTCAGGAATTTTTCACAATATTTCCAATAATATTTTATCTTCTGGAAAAAGTCTTATTTGTTTCATTTCCACTAGAATAAAAGCAGTTTTCAATTTTTTAAAGCCATTTTAAAGTCAAAATTATTAGCCCCCTATTGATTGTCTACAGAACAAACCATTGTTATACAATGACTTGCATAATTATCCTAACTTTACGCTAATTAACCTAGTTCAGCCTTTAATTGTCACTTTAAGCTGTATACTAATATCTTGAAGAATTTCTAGTCAGATATTATGTGATGTCATCATGGCAAAGATAAAAGAAATCATTTTTTTGAGATGAGTTATTAAACTATTATGATTAGAAATGTGCTGAAAAATCTTCTCTTTGTTAAACAGAAATTGGGGAAAAAATAAACAGGGGAGTGAATAATTCTGACTTAAACTGTAACTCATTACACACTCACTTTTGAGAAAGCCCAAGATTTCCTCCATGGGCCGGAAACCACAGAGACCCTCAAACTGCGTGAGAGCGATGGCCATCTCCGGCTTGTGGTTGTTGTCTGGATAATGTTCAGGAAATTGCGCATGGAGTCTCGCAGCCAGCTCCTTGCAGACAAGAACAACATGGTAAGGTGCTTGCTTTGTTAATTTTATGTTTATCTTAAACCATTATACAATCGTTAGATACACATCTTCATTCATTCATTCATTCATTCATTCATTCATTTTCTTATCGGCTTAGTCCGTTTATTAATCTGGGGTCGCCACAGCGGAATGAACCGCCAACTGATCCAGCACATTTTTACGCAGCGGATGCCCTTCCAGCCGCAACCCATCTCTGGGAAACATCCACACACACATTCACACAAACACACACACACTACGGACAATTTAACCTGTACAGTATGTGTTTGGACTGTGGGGGAAATCGAAGCACCCGGAGTAAACCCACTTGAACGCAGGGAGAACATGCAAACTCCACTCAGAAATGCCAACTGAGCCGAGGATCGAACCAGCGACCTTCTTGCTGTGAGGCGACAGCACTACCTACTGCGCCACTGCGTCACCTTACACATCTTGATATCATTCGCAATCTTATTGCACATTTTTGAAAAAGAGCTTACAAATCTCGAGGGTAAAATAAATGTTTAAATAAATAAAGAGGGGGGAGATTCTCTTCTGGACTTGGAAACTCTGCATGAACGTTGACAAATGTAGGAATTTTTGAGCTTTGTTCTTGTCATACTTCTGTGATCCAATGTTGTTTTCAGCAATAATAAAAATATTGTAAGAATATGTTTGTGTTTTCTTTATAGCTCACATTTAGGGCATCTCCTGAGTCTAATATTTACAATTTCTTTTTTTGACATGAGAAGAAAAATAGTAAATCAACCAATTAGCTTGCAATAAATCAGCAATAGGAGTGTTTTGCAGTTACCAATAAACTTACGGTGAAACTCTTTTAAAAATTGTAAGGCTCCAGTGTTTCCACTAGGACTTTTTTCCAGCAGGCCTTTTTTTTAAACACAGAACTACCAACAATCTGTGGCGTTATTTCAATGACAAATGTCGTGAGCGCAGTATTACAAGTCGAGATCGCATTTATGTAATAGCCTACAGCATGCAGATCTCTTTGCTTGCACGTAGATTTCCTCTGCTCGTGCACACAACTTTTTGCGCACCCCCTCAGATATACCAGCTCAAGCACAGATCTTCTTGTGCGCTCTCAAATAAACACTGCTGAAGTGCGATTTAGTGCGTTTATGTAACGAGTACGTCTCCAACATTTATTAGATTTGCTAGGAATATTTATGAATGTCTCCAACAGACGTACAGAGCGGCATTAATGAGTCCTGAAGTAAAGTGAAACAGCTATATGTCGTGTTTGCTGGCCTCACGCATCTGTCAGTCAGTCAGCATGTAAACTTAAAGGGTTAAACAAATGCACACAGCACTAGTACGGTTACAGAAAAGTATGCGCTGTTATAATTTACTTACCTCTTAATACATTTTAGTTCGATTATCACCCGCTATTAAAAAAAAACACGACTGAAAGTTTTGAATGTAAAGCTGATGTAGCCGTGGCGGGATCAATTTTGGCGCGGCGCCCCGCCATGGAAGAATGAGTGTAGCAGAAACCATGGGCTCCCTTTGAAGCATTGATCATGTACTTTAATTAAATAGAGCATTAATTTAGTTGTTCAAGTGTATAACGAGATGAAAGTAGCATCAGGAGCAGCAGACTAGTGCAGAAACGCTATTAAAAATGAATAAATTTCCATATTTTAAAAACATGATGGTGCAGAACAATGTCATTTAATGGAGTGAGAGACCGTACCTCAATCAGGCAGTGAATATCATTGATCTGAAAGAAACCAGATCTCTTAAATGCAGCGATTTTATAATGGCATGAAAGACTGAGCGTTCCAGTGCATATAGCATATATATATATATATATCATGTTTGGGGTCTCACCCTGTTGGGATGCGCCTGGATGGACAGAGCCGTGTTTACGGACAGCACTTTGAACAGGAAGGGAAGCTGCCCATGAAAAGTGTCCTTGACCTTTGACCCCAGGCATCCCGGGAAATCTGCAATCCACTGACCCAGCGTCCTTTGAGAAATCCGGTTGTCTTTGATGAGAGCGTCGCCTTTGGGGTGAGCACCCATCCACAGCTGCAACAAACACACAAATGCTGATTTCTTAGCCATGATGACAGCACAAGATATTTGACAAGGTATTCTTCAAGATACTAGTATTCAGCTTAAAGTGACATTTAAAGGCTTAACTAGGTTAATTAGGCAAGTCATTGTATAACAGTGGTTTGTTCTATGTGTATATATGGTGAATATCTGTGTTGTTGTATATGTAGTCTGTATCTGTGTTTAGTATGTTGTTGTGTATATATAGTGTATATCTATATGCTGTGTATATATAGCGTATATTAGAATGTTGTTGTGTGTAAATATGGTGTATATCTGTTGTTGTATATGTAGTCTGTATCTGTGTTTAGTATGTTGTTGTGTATATATAGTGTATATCTATATGCTGTGTATATATAGCGTATATTAGAATGTTGTTGTGTGTATATATGGTGTATTTCTGTGTTGTTGTATATGTAGTCTGTATCTGTGTTTAGTATGTTGTTGTGTATATATAGTGTATATCTATATGCTGTGTATATATAGCGTATATTAGAATGTTGTTGTGTGTATATATGGTGTATATCTGTGTTGTTGTATATGTAGTCTGTATCTGTGTTTAGTATGTTGTTGTGTATATATAGTGTATATCTATATGCTGTGTATATATAGCGTATATTAGAATGTTATTGTGTGTATATATGGTGTATATCTGTTGTTGTATATGTAGTCTGTATCTGTGTTTAGTATGTTGTTGTGTATATATAGTGTATATCTATATGCTGTGTATATATAGCGTATATTAGAATGTTATTGTGTGTATATATGGTGTATATCTGTTGTTGTATATGTAGTCTGTATCTGTGTTTAGTATGTTGTTGTGTATATATAGTGTATATCTATATGCTGTGTATATATAGCGTATATTAGAATGTTATTGTGTGTATATATGGTGTATATCTGTGTTGTTGTATATGTAGTCTGTATCTGTGTTTAGTATGTTGTTGTGTATATAAATTTGTATGTTCAGTGTGTTGTTGTATAAATAGTGTGTATCTGTTTGTTCACTGTTTTGTTGTATAGTGTTTATCTATATGTTTGGTGTAGTGTAGTATAGTGTGTATCTATATGTTTGGTGTAGTGTAGTATAGTGTGTATCTATATGTTTGGTGTAGTGTAGTATAGTGTGTATCTATATGTTTGGTGTAGTGTAGTATAGTATGTATCTATATGTTTGGTGTAGTGTAGTATAGTGTGTATCTATATGTTTGGTGTAGTGTAGTATAATGTGTATCTATATGTTTGGTGTAGTGTAGTATAGTGTGTATCTATGTGTTTAGTGTAGTGTAGTATAGTATAGTGTGTATCTATATGTTTGGTGTAGTATAGTATAGTGTGTATCTATATGTTTGGTGTAGTGTAGTATAGTGTGTATCTATATGTTTGGTGTAGTGTAGTATAGTGCGTATCTATATGTTTGGTGTAGTGTAGTATAGTATAGTGTGTATCTATATGTTTGGTGTAGTATAGTGTGTATCTATATGTTTGGTGTAGTGTAGTATAGTGCGTATCTATATGTTTGGTGTAGTGTAGTATAGTATAGTGTGTATCTATATGTTTGGTGTAGTGTAGTATAATGTGTATCTATATGTTTGGTGTAGTGTAGTATAGTGTGTATCTATATGTTTGGTGTAGTGTAGTATAGTGTGTATCTATATGTTTGGTGTAGTGTAGTATAGTGTGTATCTATATGTTTGGTGTAGTGTAGTATAGTTTGTATCTATATGTTTGGTGTAGTGTAGTATAGTGTGCATCTATATGTTTGGTGTAGTGTAGTATAGTGTGCATCTATATGTTTAGTGTAGTATAGTGTGTATCTATATGTTTGGTGTAGTGTAGTATAGTGTGTATCTATATGTTTGGTGTAGTGTAGTGTGTATCTATATGTTTGGTGTAGTGTAGTATAGTGTGTATCTATATGTTTGGTGTAGTGTAGTATAGTGTGTATCTATATGTTTGGTGTAGTATAGTAGTATAGTGTAGTGTATACCTCTGCATAGGGTTTGCTGTGCTCTATGTGCGCCTGCGGGTCTCCGCCGAGCACCAGCCGCGCCACCTCACTGTCCAGACCCGCTTTACCCCAGGCGTAGTTCTGCACCACACAGCACAGAGGAAACACTGCAAAACACACACACACACACACACACACACACACACACACAAAAAACTGCTTCAGATAAACACACAAACACACCGAGACTCAGAGTAACCAGTGAAGGAATGAACGCATAACGCGAGTGTCATTGAAGAAGAACTGCTTACACACTCAAATCCAGCATCACACTGCAGAAAACAATCGTAAATTACCAATCCAGGCACACCACACACACACCGACGGCAGCGGTAACTAGTCCTGGTTTAAGATGATGCATTACTGTGTTTATTTTGCTAAATCAAGAATGAAATGTGAAGTCAAGAGATTTAACTGACCTTTCACTTCCGCCATGTCTGCAACGCTGACGGTCACGTATGTTGCGTCACGGCTAGCCAGCCAATCACGAGCCTTTATATGTAAATAAACATTATTCATGATGCATATCTTGGAAATTGTTTAGATTTTTTAAATATATGTATATAATATATTTAACAAAGTATAGCTAGTGAAACTGCGCAAACAATAAAATATGTAAATAAGAAAAAAAAACGTGTATAATTAGCAAAATTTATAATAATACTATTTTTCTGCTTAAAATTTTACAAAACTGCCGTTTTTAGTAAAACTCATGTCTAACATGAATTAAATACCTAATTAATATAGATAAATTTAATTAACTTCTTACGAGGCATATATTATATTGGAAGGTTTTCCTCAAAAAAATCAATTCATTTGAAACGCGATTTATTTTTTCTATCTTGTTAAAATGTGGATTTATAAATAAAACAAACCAACTATTAAATGTAAGTATTGACCACAAATTATAAAATGAAAATATAATTTTGGTCACTTTTATCAATCTTTACCTTTATACACCTTCTTTATTCATAAAAATGTACAAATATTTTAGGTGAAATGTTTATTATATATCTTATAAGTCCAAATATTTAGCAATAGTGCAGAATATATATGTTATGTTATATATATATATATGAAAATCTACCAAACAATGTTTACTATTATTCCTTCTACCTTTATGAATATAAAAATTAACAAATAAAGTAAAATTCTATATAAAGTCCACTCTTTTTGATTCCGAATATAAAGTTCTACGTCTGCTGATGACGTCGCGGGCTGATCAGCAGCGCATGCGCGTCGCGCTCTCACTACGGAAGCGCAGAAAGGAAACGGCAGCGATCGCAGCTCCGGTGCCGCTCAGTTTGGACTAAATAAAGGCGGATAAAATCCATCACGATGTCGGGATTTGACTCAAATCCATTCGCAGATCCAGTCGACGTCAATCCCTTTCAGGTGAGACTCGAGCGGGTGGCAGGAGACGCGTTTCAGAGCTCGTTTGAGTTGAAGTTTGAGCCGTTAATTTGGGTTTGGTTTCGGTTCACATGAGCTCGGTTCGGTTGTTGACGTGTCATGGTGGCTATGCTGCTAGTTAAATCAGTAAAGCTGGTCAGTAGTCTCTGGTTAAGGGTGTGTGTTTGGTTTGGTGACTCGCTGAAGGCCTGAGCGCCACTCCTGTTAGTGTCACAACAGAGGAAAGAGCTGCAACAATAACTCCTGACCAGATCACCTGTGCGCCAAAAACTCGCATTTCATTAGTATAATTAGTATTTTTGGGTATCACTTATAATGGACCTGCTTTTAACAAGATGTAAAATAAGCCCCAATTGTGTGTTTGTTAAGTGTCAGCACAAAATACCACAAATAATGTTGTATAACTGACCCTTTTAGGCTTTGATGCTAATTGTGGGGTGTTTCAGTGACTGTCGCTTTAAATTCAAATGAGACTGTGCTCTTTTTGAAAGTGGGCGGAGTTACAAATGCCTATGTGTCAGGATAGTGGCAGCGTCCGAAACCGCATACTTCCATACTATATAGTACGCTAAAATCAGTATGCGAGCCAAGTAGTATGTCCGAATTCATAGATTTTAAAAATCAGTATTTGAGACGTACCCGGATGACCTACTACTTCCGGCGAGACTCTAAAGTGTGCATCCCATGCATGCTGTGCTATCCCATGATGCCCCGCGAGAGAATTTATGAATGGAAGTGATGAACATACTTTTATAAACGTTTAAATTCAAATGCAGTACCTACTGAGTAGTAGGCGGTTTCGGACACAGCCGCAGATTCATATGCTAATGAGGGAGAGATGATCACTAGTTGGCGGGGCTTCCCCCTCTGACACCACATACAAAGGGAGAATGTCAATTAAAGTGTTTCTGCAGGCTGTTTTTATCAAGTGTGATTATAAAAAATTAGATTAATACATTTTTTATCATTAGCAGCTAGTTGTATTTACAGACTGCTGCTGCACAACTGTTTAAACCCCTAATTAAAGTAATTTTTGCATAATAGCTCCTCTTTAAGAGAATGGTCCATTAGTTCATATATTTATTTACATGAACTAAATAAACTTGCACAGCAGTTATTAATAGTCGTAGTTCAACATTAACTAATGCAATTATTAAAATGTACTGAGATAGATCTGTTACTATTACATTTTTAATTATGTTAATATAAATAAATATCAATTAGATATATTTGTAATAAAAGTTATTATTATAATAAAATGATAATGTTTTCTATTAGTCAATTATTATATTATATTTATATTAATATTATTTCTATATTAAAATAAGTCAATTAAATATATTCAAATTGTTATATTATTAAATCAGTAATATATTATATTTATATTATTATAATTATTATATTATCAAATCAATTGATATATTATTTATATTATAATAATTATTTTCTATTGTTAAATCAATTATTATATTATTAATATCATTTTAATAATAATTTCTATTATTAAATCAATTATTATATTTATATATTATAAATATGATATTCTCAAATCAATTAATATGTTATTTATATTACATTATTTTCTATTATTAAATCAATTATTGTATTATAATTATATAATTATTATAATTATTAAATATTAAATTAATATTATTAATTTTTAAGATTGATCAATGCTATTATTTAAGAAACACTGTAATGCCCATCAAGCTGCGTTAATTTGAAGCTTAATACAGTGTTCGATATTGTGAAATATTAAATGAGTGTGTTGAAGTAAGCTGCTACATGACTCGTCGTTTGTGTTTTTAATCATTGTTCCTCTCCTCGTCTGGAGTCTGATATAGTTTCCAGCTGTTTGCTCGTCCAGAATATTGACTTCTGAATAAAGCAAACATTCCTGTCAGATTCTCCTCCTCTCCCTCGAAGCCGAATCCAGCCCAATCTCCTCAATAATTCACATGTTTAGAGACACTCTATTGGTTTTTACTCATGACTGTGCCCACAAACAATTAACACATTGTATATCCTTTTTCAGAGCATGCTTCATATTATCTGTTGATTGTTATTGCCAGAAGAGCAAGGCAGAAAACTCACTGATAAAGTGGATTTTTCTGATAAGACATGAGTAGGATAAACTTCAGATCTCAGATCAGTTCATCTTGAATTATGCGTCAATCGTTGAGCCAAGAATCTTAGTGATAGTTTATGGTTGAGATAAACGTTAAATTATACTGCAGTTAGAGACATTTACACATGAAGAGTGGGATTTCATTTTAAAACTAATATTAACTAAAAACTGTGTCTCGAAAGTGGCTACAACTGCATCCCCCTACAAAATCTGAATGGTTGGATATCATGTCTAATGTATGGGGACAGGATGACTTTTTCTTTAAAACTACATATGGACAAATTCCTGCAATATTGGGAGAAATGGATTGTACTTATGTCTTTACACAGTGTAATCTGATTTCTATACGTATTTGTTAATGTGACCTGTAAGGAAATATGTGACCAGTCAACTGTTAATTTAAGTTCCTTTTTTGTTATTGTGTGTGTGTGTGTGTGTGTGTGTGTGTGTGTGTATGTGTGTGTGTGTGTGTGTGTGTATATATATATATATATATTATTTTTAAAAATCTATTATTTATTATTTGTGTGTTATTTATTGTTTCTTCGTTTAAAAAAAAGCTAAATAAAAATAGTATAAAAAATCTAATATAAACTATTTATTACATTATTACCTCATATTAACTGTCACATATTAAATATGTTTGTTGTTTAATATATGCATGACTATGACTTTTAATCTCTGTTTGATGATGTCACCGCATTGTTATTGAGGCATGTGACTGTGTAAACCTCATGACACACTCAGAGCACGTTGTTTCTCTGTATGTGGAATAATTTAAAAAATGTAAATATTATATACAGTTTTATATTATATAATTTAATATAATATTGTTTTATATTATATTATGTTATATTGTCTTGTATTGTTATATTTTATTATATTATATTTTATTGTAATATTTTATATTATATTATATTATATTATATTATTTAAATTGTCCTGCAGTTTTACACATTAAAAGTTTTATGATTTAATTTAAACATGCTAGTACTGATGTTACCTCTATTATTTTAAATACTTAAAATATAAAATGTAAATATTAAGTTATTATATTATAGTAGTTCAAATAATATAAAGTAATTAAATATATCTAAATGTAGTAATTTATTTCAGACTGCAAAAAAATTACTTTATTGAACAGGGATCTGATAAAAAAAATGGCAGAACATTATTATATTATATTATATTATATTATATTATACTTAATTATGTTATTTGTAATTACATTATATTATACTTAATTATATTATATTGTATTATTTACATTCTCCTACAATTTTATACATTAAAAGTTTTATGATTTAATTTAAACATGCTAGTAGTAGTGGTGCGCATGTGGTCAGCACATGCACTCCGGTGCTCGCGGCGACCCGAGTTCAATTCCTGCCTTGCAGTCCTATGCCGATCCTTCCCTTCTCTCTGCTCCCCATGCTTTCCTGTCAATACTCTCTACTGTCCTGTCAAATAAAGGTGAAAACCCAGAAAAAATAGATAAATAAAAAAATAAAAAATAAAATATTTTACTGTAGTAATTAAAATGATATCGTAATTAAATATATTTAAATGTAGTAATGTAAGTATAGTAAATTCAAACCGCAAAAAATACAGTATTGAACAGGTATCTACTTTACATTTATAATAAAGTCATATATTTATTTATTGTTTATAAATATTATCTGTTTGCCCATTGAAAAAATGGCAGTACAATTATATTTAGTTAAAATAGTGACATGGCGTTTAATATTATAAACAAAATAAATTATTAGGTATTTACGTTCAAAAATGAATTGTATGAAATCTTTTTTACTTCAAATTTAATTGAAACTTTTTCTGGATTTTAGCAGTCAAAAGTAGAAACTATTTATAGTGAATTTCTCATATTTTGTGTGTGTAATGCGTGTGAGTGAATGTGTGTGTTTGACTTTGTCAGAGTGAATGGGTTTGAGTGTGTGAGAGTGCATGCACGTGTGTCTCTGTGTGTGTGCGTGTGTGTGCGCGTGTGTGTGTGTGTGTGTGTGTGTGTGTTTGTTGAATGAGGGATTTGGCTGTAGGCCTGCATGTGGGAAGGACCGCAGGTGTGTTTGCCGTAGACAGAAACAATTATTGCATATTCATAATTGCTCATGTCACACATTAGCATTTGTGCGGTTTATAACAAGAAAACAGGCTTTTCTGATGAGGCTGGATGTGTGTTTAATGCTGTGAGTAACGTTTGTGTTGGTTGCTTAATGTTTGTTGCTCTGCGGATAAAGGAAATTTCATGTCTGTCGTTTTTTATGAGCATTAATATGACAGTCTCTTCAGCACAATACAGCAGAATCACATTAATAATCAGTTTCCTACATGCACTTTGGACATGATCATGCTGTACTTCTCATTTGCCTTTATTGAGAATTACTCCATGGCCTGAACACCAGCTTTTGCATGTGCAAACAGCGCGTATGTTTTTCTCATAACGACATGTTGAAGTATATTAACTCTATTTCCTGTGATGATCTGTTTGAGTGTGTGAATCAATCAGTGCTGATTTCAGAGGTTTGTTTCCTCATTGTGTCCTCAGAGGCATTTAACATGTTACTAGATGGTTGTTGCATATAAATCTCCCTGTGATGATGACGATGACAGTGATGATGTCACTTTATTATGAATAAGGCATGTGACTCAATAAACATTAGTGGCGCTCCCATTTATTACATTGTTCAGTCATGCTTGGTGCATAATATAAAATTGCATGAATAATTAATTTATTTTTAATACAATGACATTTAACAAATAAAAAACATACATTTTTAAAATATTTGAAAGATCATTAAAATTAATTGTATGAATATTCTAAGCATGTTTATAGTAATCCTCTTATTTCATTATTAAAATAAATGCATGTCTGATACACTCACATGATGAGTCCAGTTTCTTGTTTCCTGATATTAGAAATAATCGTATTTTTATTATTGTTAGTATGGCTGGCTCAGTTGGCGTTTCTGTATGGAGTTTGCATGTTCTCCCCGTGTTGGTGTGGGTTTCCTCCGGGTGCTCCGGTTTCCACCACAATCCAAACACATGCACTATTGGTGAATTGATGAAGTAAATTGGCCGTAGTGTGTGAATGTGAGTGTGTATGGGTGTTTCCCAGTGCTGGGTTGCAGCTGGAAGGGCATCCGCTGCGTAAAACACATGCTGGATAAGTTGGCGGTTCATTTTGCTGTGGAGACACCTGATGAATAAAGGGACTAAGCTGAAGGAAAATGAATGAATGAATGTTATTATTAATAGTAATAATAATCACGTTTAGTATTAAATGTTAAAAACATGTTATAAAAGTATTATTTTGTGAATCTTTTTTTTTTTTTTTACTGAAATTATACAAAAACACAACAACAATGTAAGCTATTATGCTTTTGTAAATAACTGTAAAATTGTTTTAATATACCACAGGGTCTCTACAGATATCATAATGTCAAATTTAAGACCTTTTATGACCTTTTTAGAACATTAAGTATTAAATTTAAGACCTATATCGCAATATCAAAAACACGAGAGAAAATGTAAAAGCACAAAATTAGGGGAAAAATAAAGTTATTTAAATTGAACAGTAGTAAAGTCAGGTTAAATGCACCATTGAACTACAGAAAAAACAAACATCTTAATGCAGATTTATACTTTCACCTGGCAACGCATCGCACTACTCATGAAACGGATTAAGGCTTTTATACTTGACACGTTCACCATTGAGATATTTTTTTTAAATGACAGGGGGCGGTCCAAAAAACAGAAAGCATTAGCATTAGATGTAGCGTTACATAGACATCGCAAAAATAAGACCTGTGCAAAAATATTGAAGACCTAGAACAGCAAATGTAAGACTTTTTAAAGCCATAAATTTAGATTTTTTTTAAATTTAAGACTTTTTAACACTTTTTAAGACCCTGTGGGGACCCTGTAATAGCCTTCAATGTCCAAAAAGTCAGGATAATTATGGAAATATTATTATTATTATTAATTATAATAAAAATAATATTCTGTTGTGTTTTGTCCTCAGGATCCGTCTGTCACTCAGGTGACGAACTCTGGAGTGGATCACATTGAAAGCTTTAGTCCGTTTCCGGATGGGAATCAGGTGAGTCTGAGCTCTTGTATATTAAGGATTGCAGTTGGTCTGCATCTTTGAAATAACACTAGAGTCATTGCATTAAATAATAACAAACTTAAGCATGTCATCATGTTAAAGCTGCAGTATGTAAGTTTTGCACCCAGTGGTTGAACTAGGTATTGCATTCCTTGATTAAAACAAACGCAAGCGCAGGTTGCCAGATTGAGGACAGCATTTTACTATAGTTGTTAAACGTGATATTTAATTAATCTTGTCTCTATCTAAGGACTCTTCAGTCTTTTCAATCAGGTCACAGCGTCAGTACACTGCTTCAGTCTTTCACTTTCACACTTGTACGTAGTAATTTTAGTAAAAACCTCAGATTCTGTTGGTTGTGCACCTTTTTACCGGCCAACCTCCTGCGGGAAAAGGGATTGAAGGGTGGTAATTTGTGTAACTTATCTTTATTTATGATTTTATTTATTTATGAGTAAAGCAAAGACCATGCGGGTCAGTTAGTTGAAACGGTAGGCTAAAAATAATTAATTCGGTATTAAATAATGAATTATTCATAAATAATTAATTCATTTGATATAATTAATTGGGCGAGGCAGTGGTGCAGTAGGTAGTGCTGTTGCCTCACAGCAAGAAGGTCGCTAGGTCGCTGGTTCGAACCTCGGCTCAGTTGGTGTTTCTGTGTGGAGTTTGCATGTTCTCCCTGCCTTCGCGTGGGTTTCCTCTGGGTGCTCCGGTTTCCCCACAGTCCAAAGACATGCGGTACAGGTGAATTGGGTAGGCTAAATTGTCCATAGTGTATGAGTGTTTGTATGATTGTGTGTGGATGTTTCCCAGAGATGGGTTGCAGCTGGAAGGGCATCTGCTGCGTTAAAACTTCTGGATAAGTTGGCGGTTCATTCCGCTGTGGCAACCCTGGATTAGTAAAGGGACTAAGCCGACAAGAAAATGAATGAATGAAAGATATAATTAATTTATTAATTCGATGTTTCACATTAGACATCGTACGATGCCAAATTGGTCGACATCGCCCAACTCTAGTCCATAGTTTGTTCATGTTAGTAAATGCATTAACTAACACAACCTTCAACCTAACGCTCTTGTTATAAGTGTTACTAATGAAGTGAATTCTGATATCAGTAATTGTGATTTTTCCCTCAGGGATCCACTATTCCAGCATCAAGCGCCCCGACTCAACCTGCTGTCCTGCAGCCGTCAGTCGAGCCCAGTCCACAGGTCAGCATCACACACGCAGACACTTCTTCACAGTGTGTTTAAAGTGGATTTAACGTGTGTGGGTGTGTGTGCAGGCCACAGCTGCCGCTGCGCAGGCCAGTCTGATCAAACAACAGGAGGAGCTGGAGAGAAAAGCAGCAGAGCTGGAGAGAAGAGAACAAGAGCTGCAGAGTAGAGGAGCACCCACAGGTACACACACACACACACACACACACACACACACACACACACACACACACACACACACACACACACACACACACACACACACACACACGGCTGGAGAGAAGAGAACAAGAGCTGCAGAGCAGAGGAGCAC